TAACTGGTCAAATTTAGGTTCATGTATGCACTGAAGCAACATGATAATTTATGTGTTTTCAAAATCTGTAATTAATTTGCATTTTAATTTTAAAAGTTGCATGCATTTGGGAATGACAAGAGAGCCATATCTGGTTCCATAATGAGCTATATTTGGCTTGAGAGCCATGGGTGGCAGATCCCTGTTCTAAGAAATGAAAGAAGGGAGAACATCAAAATAGAGACAATGGATTTCAGGAAGGCAGATTTTAGTGAACTCAGAGAGCTGGTAGGTAAGGTCTCATGGGAAGCAAGACTAAAAGGAAAAACAACTGAAAAGAGTTGGCAGGTTTTCAAAGGGACATTATTAAGGGCCCAGAAGCAAACTATACCGCTGCTTAGGAAAGACACAAAGTATAGTAAGAGACCTAGGCTTAACTTGGATATTTTACATGATTTAAAAATCAAAATGGAGTGTTATAAAAAGTGGAAACTAGGTCAAATTACTAAGGATGAATATAAGCACACAAGTATAAACACCACAAGTATGCAGGGGAAAGATTAGAAAGGTGAAGGCACAAAATGAGCTCAATCTAGCTAGACATATAAAGGGTACCAAGACGACAGTCTAAAAACGTATTAGAAGCAAGAGGAAGACCAAGAACAGGGTAGGCCCTTTGCTCAGTGAAGAGGAAGAAACAATAACAGGAAACTTGGAAATGGCAGAGATGCGCAATGACTTCTTTGTTTCGTTTTTTGTCAAGAAGGCTGATGGTGACAGGATGCCTAACATAGTGAATGCTAGTGGAAATGGGGTAGATTTAGGTCTAGAAAACATGACCTATGAGAGAAGACTGAAAGTATCGGACTTGTTTAGAAAAGAGAAGACTGAGAGGGGACATGACAGCAGTTTTCAAGTGCCTAAAAGGGTGTTACAAGGAGGAGAGAGAAAAATTGTTCTCCTTGGCCTCCGATGATAGGACAAGAAGCAATGTGCTTAAACTGCAACAAGGGAGGTTTAGGTTGGACATTAGGAAAAACTTCCTAAGTGTCAGGGTGATTGAACACTGGAATAAATTGCCTAGGGAGGTTGTGGCATCTCTATCACTGGATATATTTAAGAGCAGGTTGGACAGACATCTATCAGAGATGATCTAGACCGTGGTTGGTCCTGCTGTGAAGGAAGGGGACTGAACTTGATCTCTCGAGGTCCCTAGTTCTATGATCCTATGATTCGATGTTTCTGGAGCAGGGCTGGTTCTTCTGCTGTGTCCAGCAGAAAAGGTGGGAAGAGAGTAATGGCAGAATGATCTAACACCTCTGTGTAGCCAGTGGCTCCAATGCCATGCTGTAGTCTCTGTTTTTGACAAAATTTGCTGAATATTAAAATACAGGTTCAACCTCCCATATCTAGGATTCTTTGGGCTGGCAGCATCCTAGTCCAGAAAGACCACAGATACTGAGGACCAGGGAGTCCCAGAAGCAAGGAGCACAAGCCAGTCATGAGTCCATTAGTGCTGGGAAAACCCAGCTGGGCCAGAAGCTGGTCCGACAGTGGGTGGGGAGTCCCACCCTGGAGATCCCCGGTAGTGACGGGGGAATCCCTGGCCCCAGCCAGGAACCCCCAGTGGCAGCGAGGCTGGCAGCGGTGGTAGAGGGCAATCCCAGGCCACGAAATCTGGCGGCAGCTAGGCTGGCAATGGCAGAGAGGAATCCCCAGCTTTGGACCCCCAGCAGCACTGGAGCTGGCAGTGGCCGCAGAGTCCCAGTCCAGGGAGGCCGAGCAGGGCGGGGAGTCCAGGCTCCAGAGACCCCCCACAGCCCAGAGAGAAGCCTTGACTTCCCTTGAGAGGGTGCTGGACCAGGGAGGTCCAAGATTTGTGTGCAGAAATTTTAATTTTTTGGCACAGAATTTTTAGTGTTTTGGTGCAGAATGCTCCAAATGGCTACATTTCAAAGGGAGAGAGAGGCACAGCAGTCGGACCTGTGTGAGCGGGGAATGCTTCAGTCTCTGCTTGTGCTGTTTCCCCACTGCCCCTCTACTTCCCCGCCCCCTATGTAGAGATGGTGCTTGCTACATTTCAAAGGGAAAGGTAGAACCTGAAGCGTGCGGGGACTGCATGAGTCCTTGCTTGCTATGTGTTCCCCACACTGTCTATCCCTTTGAAATAAATAAGAGTCCCCGCAGGACTCTTGCTACATTTCAAAGGGAGAGGGGGAATCCCAGGCAAGTGGGCAGCTCTCACTACATTTCAAAGGCAGAGGCACAGCAGGGATAGTGTGCGCCCCACCCCTACCCTTATCGACTAATCGATGGAAATTTGGGAAGCACTGCTTACAGAATTTAAGTTCCATTGATTCTTGACTATCTAAACCTGACATGGCCTAAATGACAAACTATTATTCTATTTAAAATACTCTACTCCAACAGTTACTACAAAAGAGCTAATATTAAAATAACTGTACTACTGCTTTAGATTAGGAGACACACCCAGAAGTGCTGCATATTGATCAAACCCCCACTCCCAAAACCCCAGCCACCAAGGGGCAGGGTTCATACCCTTCCTTTGCATCTAACTTTCATTCCCAGTGCCTCATGTACAAGTCGTGATGCACATGACTACAACATTAATTGTTCTGGTATGCAAAGAACCTCAAGTGGAATCTCTGGAAATGAAATAATAAATGACAAAAAAAACCTATTACAATAGCATCTGGTCATTCAGTCCAATTCATTGACTCGTCTCTACTTGTAGTTTCTAGTGTGCCAAGCCCTAGCATCCCCCTACACATTCAACTCCCTCCTTGACACACTTTTTCCATGCTGACCACACAAAAAATGAGTCAACAAAATATGTAAAAAACACTGTTCTGGGCTTCTCATTGTGCCATGTCTTTCAGTGGCAAACTCCAGATGTGCTCATTCTAGTCATGAATACACTGTCAGCACGTAAACAGAGGAGATCCTTTAAATCCCTTCCCAGACCACGGATATCTCACTCCTTTAAAGACAACAATTATCTCTCAAGATATAAGTATCTAGCAGCATAATTAAATGTTGCTGTTATAAATGACTTGAGGTGTTTCCTTGCCACAGATTACATGTGCTTGCTCTGTTATATTTGTACAATGCCTACGATAACTGACCCCTGGTCTGCAGGTACTACACAATACAAATTATAAATAACAAAGTGTTGTTTAGTCAGTATAGTATACTCAGTCCCCAGAAGCCTGAGAACAAAGTGACAAATCTGATTTCAAACTTTGGTCCCTGGCTAGAAAGAGCATATGCACTATGGCAACGTATTATTGTTGCAAATCCTCAATTTCAATTCAATGGAGTGAAAAAAGAAAATCTAAACAAGATAAATAGGGTTTTTTTGTCTCCAACAACTCAGATAGACTTAACTCTATTTTAAAACCAAAGCTGTTAGAGGACACTGGTTTTGTGTTTCAAAAAAAACAGCTCTTGCTCTTCTGCAGTAATTTTTTCCATGTCCATTCCAATGCAAATATCCATATTCAAATACAAATCTTATTGCAGTAAACAGTGACGTGTTAGAATAGGTAGAAATATCTCTTGCAGACTCTCAAATACTATCATAGACCTTGGTCCTGCACAGAGCCCCACAAAAAGAGCAGAGGTCCACCCCCATGGAACTCCTTTGGGATTAAGACCACAATGAGGTTTTTTAATATACGGCAATAGTTATAAGTCAATGTACACGAAACTATGTATAGTGTGTCTGTCTAAAATAAAGATTCACGTGACAGACTAATCTACTCCTTCACTTCACTCCAAAAATTTTCATCTTGCCATACTGCCTATAAAAATTCCAAACAGAAATTAAGACACCAAACTACACTAAAGTAACTAAGTCTAGTCTATTTTAAATAAATTAACTATTAAAATAAATTCGATGTTGTTTCTCCAATCTCCTTGTTAGTTACGTAAGTCATAGGGCAGTGCATATTTTATGCAGTGAGCACTATGATATTTAGGGTATAACTGGAAAACAAAAATCCACTTTTAGCCTGAAGTTTCTGATTTACATGTGCAAAGAGATCTGGGGAGATTAAATTGAATCTCTAATAATAATATAATATAATTTAATTTAAATGGCACAATATTCATATGCTATATAAAAAGCATTTGACAGAATCAAATTACAATAACTTATAAGAGACTCAAAAATATCACTAAGATACCAAAATGCATTTCTTCACTGTTTCAATTTGAGGTTATATTTCCCTTTAGAATGATGCAAGGTAAATGGATTTCTACTTACCCAAATTCAAATACAATAGAAAAAAGGCAAAAACTACCACCACACAATTGTATAACTGGTTTTGAATGTCAAAAGACCATACAACATATTAAAGCTATTTTTAATATATTGCCCAACTGTATTACCCATTCCAACAGTCTCCCCTCAGTTATGAGATGGTTGCATGAGTGTCTAACAGCCAAAGGAAGCATTTCAAAGGGTAATACAATCATAACCCCTTATGCATAATGTCAAATCTCTATTCTCATTTATGACAATATTATCTGAAGTATTACAAAAAGACAACCTAAAGCTTAACCTTGTAACAGATTAAAAAATACTGTAGTTTTGTAGGATTTTGTTAAACATCTTAAGTTACAGCCATTGTTTGACAAAATTAACATATTTAAAATCTAGAAAACCTAAAATACAAATCAGATTCTTTCTATAAAAGGGACCCTCTCTCCCCAAGAGAGAACACATTACCTTTGCAAAACCTTTGTTATAACAGAACATCAGAACTCCAGAGCATTCTGGAAATTAGGGTTTTTTTAACCTGATTCTACCTTTTAGCATCTAACATCATATTCAAATTCTCTTATATATATTTGGCTTCTAGATTAATTCTTCCAGAAACAAATCTAATTCAGTCTAATTTGCCCAAAACATCTGTACTTTCCACAAAATTTCAAATGTAATCAAAGTACTGTATCTGTCTAAAACAGGAGGGGAGGATTACATTGAAAAAATTTACCTTCAGAGTTACGTGTAGTTTTCTTGTGTTTTCGGCATAAAATCCTATAAACAAAGTAGTTGAAAACTGTCAGATACATAATGATTCAGAGCTTATTTATTTTAATTTAAATAGCAGTACATTTCACCCAATTTATAAGACTTCTTAAAATTCCAATTTGCAGTTAATGTGCACTGTCTAGCACACTATTATAATAAAACCCATATTCACCTTTATCACTTTTCTGTAATACCAGAAATGTTTGTATTTAAATGATGGTTTTACAAAGAGGGTGAAACAAATACAAACAAAAACATGACATATAAATAGTTACATGTAAATGCCTTGTGAGGGTTTCTCTCTTATCTGAGCTTTATCATGCAATGCACAGTAGTAGTGATATGTCTTGTGACACGTTTTCACATCACAACCAATGGTTGCTCCTGGACAATGGCATAAAGAACACATCTATAAAAGAAAGAAAGACAAAAACAGAATTCATGCTAACATTAGTTTAATACTTTTGGCTTGGGAAATAACTGGAACTAACAGGCATAAAATAACTCTCCTCTCACCGAACAGATGGTGCTACTGAGAGTAATGTATTTAGTCATACTGTCTTTATCTGCATTTTTCCCCCCTTAAGTGTCATTTTTTATTAATTTTAAAAGGCAAGAGAGATACGTCACAACTACTCAATTATAAAATCTAACACTCTGATAATAATTCATGATCTTTATTAATACAGTGGAAACAAATTTAATAACTTTAGCCAAGTAAGAAGGGCCATACTACAACAAACGTAATTTTCTCTTAGATTTTATGCTTCCAAGAGTGGGTTATACCAAACACTGATCAACTGTGGATTATACCATGAAAGGAGGCGAGAAAAGGTACTTTCTTGCTGACCTCAGCTGGCAAATCAGTTTATTCCCTGAAGCAAGGACTGAATGCTTGAAATTTTACCTTGGTTAACTGCAGCTGCCTTCTTTTTCCCCTACAACAGTCTAATCCTCTTTCAAATAATTTGCCTCAGTCATAGTACATGACATGATGGTACAAAAAAGAAATGTCTTGTTTGTATTAATACCCCCCACTCTTTGTTTTTATGCAGTAGAAAAGGCTACACAGAGAGCTATTGCTTTACTCTTCCTTTTCCAAGGATAGATACTTTCCATACTAGACTTTGTAATGTTTGATCATTTCTCTTATGCTTGTAAACATTTTCATGGCCATTCATGTTTGAGATTATACGTTTTCCCCTTTAATTTCATACATGAAATCAATGTATACAATTCCATTAATATTCATAATTTGTATAGTCTCTTAACACTGCTCAAACACCGGGTTTTTGATTCTGAGAAATGCTGACTGAGTTATATGTTTATATCTATTATTTTTCCTGCAAGCCTGTGTAACTAATTCAAAACCAATCAGCATATATGAGTGATTAAAATTGTTCCTTACAATACACATTATTTTGCATAAGTCAATGGAAAGTGAAATTATCCATCTATCAGGGTGCCACTGCATGGCTTCTTCTATAGTTTTTCTAATTCTTCTTAGTCTTAACTAATCTAAATAAACATGCCACCAGCAAGCTCTGTATTGTAGGGATGTGAAAGATTAACTGGTAACCTCTGGGGTCTAGAGTACTTCCCTGTTTGCCAAGGGCAGGGGGCTGCTCCAGCCCTGGAGGGGGTCCGCTGCAGACAGGGGCTGCTCCCATGCAGACTCCAAAGCAGTCCCAGGTGCCTTGCAGGGAGGGGCTGCTCTGGCATCTGGAGCAGTCTCTGTCCACAGGGAGCCTGGGCACCCCACAGGCAGAACAGCCTCTGTCCTGCTGCTCTGGTGAGGACTGGGAGCCAGGAACCGATGGGTCTGGGAGCCAGCAGCCAGCTCCAACACAGGGATGGGAATAGGAGCCCCACAGGTTGGGGGCTGCTCCAGTCCGTTTGGAGCAGCCCCAACCCAGATTCCGTTTAATCAGTTAAATGTTACGTTGCCCTAACCTTTAACTGGTTAACTGATTAGCCAGGATTTTACATCCTTCAACTATATATTAACAAAGATAACTGAAATACACAAAATAAGATGAATCCTGGATCATTCCGTTATTTACCTCCCTACAAACTGAGAAACTGTTCCATCGCCCTTAAATCAGTTTTCAAATCCATGGTAGGTGTTTACTCAACCTTTTGTATTTCAAGTTTCCTAATAAATTTGTTCACAAGAAAATACTTAAGTTTATTTTGAAAACAAATACATTTTATCACTCCCTTTTATCCACTACTTTAACTCTTTCACATATTGTAACAGGTTTGAAAGGCATAATTTGCTTTTAAATAAGATGTGAAATCTCTCTGGTGACGTGACAGACCGGAAGAACTTTTCTATTGACTTATTTACCTAATATTTCTTTTTGAAATTAATCTCTAAATTTGTTGGAATGATTCCTATTATCTGATTGGCTTGCAACAACAGGTTTAATTCTCTAGGTATACGAGGCACATGAAAAATTCTAAGAACAACAACAAAAAATCCACCACATTTTAAGGCTAACAGAAGAAATAATTACCTCAGATTAGCATGCTTACTGGGAATGAACAACAAGCTGACATTACTGGTCTCTCATTATGAATCAACTCTCAACTATCACCAGAAATATTCTGCATTTCTCTCATTATTTTTAAAATATACACAAGTAGCTTTAAGTGCTCAGTACCCATTTGCTTACTAGCAACATCTACTAAAAGAGGACAACTATTTAAACTGACTGCCAACAGACAGAATTTAGTAAAAACTATCAATATGACTATTAGATTTGGATCACCACATTTAGTGCTTTACTACTACTTCTATAACAGACCAGTCAAGAATAGAAAACAATCACTAAGTGCAGAATGTTTAGAGAGTGCACATTTAAGCTGATGGACAAAACCACTTAGCTTCTTCATAAATAACTTGGACATATTTCAAGTGCCTGGTTTCTCTAGATGGCATGCTTTAAGAATCTGTCCTCTTCTAGCATGTTACTGACAGAACAAAAAAAATTCTATAGTGTCATGAATGCCAAATATACATATCTCCTAAAGCGATTTTAAAAGATTTTGTTATCAAAAAGTTTCTTGTTGGCCCATATATCCAAATGCTAACATGTTCTTTATAAAAATCAAATCTCCAATTACACCTGTAGTCTCCAGCTGCTATAGCTCAATGAACAATGTTGTTCAGACCAAATAAAACTCCACTGTGAAAATGACTGAGCAAAATACTGTACTGTTTAGTGATGAGATTGTAAGTATAATAAGGTATATCATCATGTAACTTCAGCCTCCATATAAGGCAACTCTGGTAGAACCTCTGAAACACCCCTCCCCCCATATCCCTCAAAACTGAAAGTGTCTAAGCACTGTTTTAGTTATACTGTATCACTTGTTAAAAATATTTACAAAACCACTCATCTCCCAGATATGAAAATCATACCACAATCTAGCTCTTCTATCAAACTGGAATCAGCCTTAAAAATTGAGTAATGCCTTGCAAACAAACAGCAGTTCATATCACATAGTTTCATGGCCATTTGGTGAGGCTACGATTAAAATGGTTTTCATCATGTGCATCCCATGAAAAATCTGCATCCTAAGGCCCTATTAAATCATTAAAAAATGGATACAAAAAATACTGTGGTAGTAAAGGCTAGTTTTTGGCAGGGAAACCAAATGTTGGTAAAGGAGCAGTGTTACACTTGCATAGTTCCCTGGAATGTGCTGTCATTGTGAAATCTGTCAGAAAATATTAAATAGAAAGTACTGGATTAGAAAAAGTAAATTTAAGAAGTGCTGGTTTCTCTTTGTATGTAACCCATTAAAAAGAACAAGAAGCTTATTTTGTTAATGAGTTTTTAAATTTGACTGGAGAAATTGTGCCTCATATTCACTATCACCATCTCTGTTTGCTGATAACACAATGACAATAGCAATGAAAATACAGGTAGTTCCCGACTTACGTCGGATCCGCACTTACAAACGGGGCTCTCTCGCCCCGGAGCTCGCAGGCAGCAGTCCGCCACCTCGACCTCCGGGGCGAGAAAAGCTGCTCCCGGTGCCCCTGGTCTGCTGGGGACCGTCTCCAGCAGACCAGGGGCACCGG